CTTGCTGTCTGAAATTTAACCACTCACTTAGGCTTAGGGACTTACTTGGGCTGCAAAGTAGCCAGCAACCTCTGGATCTTCAGGCAAGCATGGGCTTTTATCCTAATTAGTTATAGTATGGAAGGCTTTCCCCAAGGGATACTGAGCGAGAGTCTGGTCTCCTTTTAGGTGTTCATATCTCCCCTTTAAAGTGATGGTACCAATCCCTGTATTGTGTACATCTTCAGCATTCAGCGGTTGTGTATTGAATGTATGTACCAGCCGTGCACTGTCTGCTCCATAGACAAAGGCTAGTCTGTGAGACCAGGCTCTGAGATCAGGTGATCCTGGATTCCAATTGCCATGACATCATTTACTTTCTGCCTGCACAACCTCAGGCAACTTGCTCCCATGGTTGCAGTCAGGGTGATTCTATTAAAACAGATAGCATCTCTCCCCTGCTCACCACTAAGGCCTGCCCCCCACCCAGTTTCCCACCTCACTCAGAGTGAAAGCCAGTGTCCTTTCAATGGCCTTCAAGGTCCTACATGATCTGTAGGACTTTGAGAAATCTGACTTCATCTCTGACCTTCACCGCCTGCCTCACCCCACTCCAGCCACACTCTGCACTCTTACTGGAGCTCCCTGGACCCGTTCCTGTGCCAGCTTTTGTTTTTTCCTTTGAATTAATTTTTACGGGAGTATAGTTGCTTTACAATGTTGTGTTAGTTTATACTATACAGTTAAGTGAATCAGCTATATGTATATATATATATATCCCCTCTTTTTTAGATTTCCTTCCCATTTAGGTCACCACATAGCATAGAGTAGAATTCCCTGTGCTTTACAGTAGGTTCTCATTAGTTATCTATTTTATACATAGCATCAATAATGTGTATATGTCAATCCCAATTCATGCCACCACCACCCCTTCCCCCTTGGTATCCATACATTTGTTCTCTACGTCTGTGTCTCTATTTCTGCTTTGCAAATAAGATCATCTATACCGTTTTTCTAGATTCTACATATGTGTGTTAATATACGATATTTGTTTTTCTCCTTATGACTTACTTCACTCGGTATGACAGTCTCTAGGTCCATCCACGTCTCTACAAATGACCCACTTTAGTTCCTTTTCATGGCTGAATAATATTCCATTGTATATATGTATCACATCTTCTTTATCCATTCCTCTGTTGATGGACATTTAGGTTGCTTCCATGACCTGGCTATTGTAAATAGTGCTGCAGTGAACATTGGGATGTGTGTGTCTGGATGTGATTTATTGAGGGAGAGCTCTTCCTGGAAAAATTGGGAGAGAGGGAGTAAGGCAGGATAGGAAAGGAGAAAACGAAGCAAAGATGTGATCTCAGGTAACGCACAGGGGCCAGGTCACAGTGGAAAGCTCTGGGGCATAACTGGCACTGGGTTGTCCCTTTGAGCAAAGGGACCAATCTTTTATGTCTCTGCATCAGTCAGTCATTGACTGTGGGTACCCCAGCAGGGATAGAGGTTTATAATGGGGGCCATGTAGTGGTGGGCAGTTCTCCTAAGAAGCGAGCAGTTGCGAGCGATTAGCAGCTGTAGAAGCGTGCTGGCTTGAGAAAAGGGACCTGGGCTGTGCACTCATTGCACCATACAGATCCACTTGCTTTTCACATTCAGTTCACTCCATCCAGGTCCAGCTTCTCCAAGACCCTGTGGTCATAATTCCTGAGGAACCTTCAGGAGAAGAGTTGGTGGGATGCACTAGCTCTCTTTGCTCTGGCTGGTCCCTCCTTCCCACCCGTTCTCGAGTCCCCTCACTTCTGTTAACTTGCCTTGTGGGTTGATCCAGTCCTCAATCCCTGAGGGGTCTAATGCCCTGGTTAGCATACCCTTACCAGTTATGGTTGCTGTATTTGAGTTACACTGGACAAGGCAATATCAGGAGATGTCTTGGTGGATTCCCTGAATGCCAAACATATGTCTTCTTGCTCCTGTGATGAAGCAATGGTCCTAACTCATCCTGCGGATCAGGACCAATCTCCCTTGCTACAGTGGTGACCCCTGGCCTTCCCTTTTGCTCTTGGTGTGAGAACCCCAACATGACTGGGCAGCAGTCATAGCCATATACTTAATGGGATTTTCATTGTATTCCCAAGTGGAAGAATTCTTCGGGATTAGGACTTCTGGATCCACAGAGCCTAAAGTTGAAAAGATGAGGTAGC